TTTCTGCTGCTTGAGGGCGCTGGGTCACACAAGCCACGATCTAGGCGAAGTAATCATTCCCCAGTGCCAAGCTGCAGTCAGTAATTAGGGGTGTTATAGTGATGTTGAAGTTTTGTCAGAGATGCATACTGTATATGTTGTGAATCAGCACATTTACATATATTTCGTACGACGTAGCCTTGACATTACTGAAAATAAGCATTTGCTTATAACAATGTAACATGACCTGCGAGGTAACACCGGGATAGATTTCTACAATCAGTGGAGTGTATTCTGTAAGATTAGGACATTGGTATTTTGCCAAAAAAATATTTTGTTGCAGTGTTGTCTACTTCAGACATGTTGGCGCTACTGAAGAAACCGCTGATGTTTCATAAAAATCAAGGGAAGCAAAAGCTGTGTTCGGTGACATTTAAGGATCATCATGATTATGATCACGTTCCTTGTCAACGCGAAAGTTGGGATCACATGAACGTGCCCATCGGATGTTGTGTTGTACGAAGACATGATTTATGGTTGAAAAAGGGCCCTGCTAAAAAAGTGTTAACGGACTAGACTGCTCGACAGTTCATGACCTATCCGTGCCCATTTACTAAGATACTGATTAAATACTTGACAGGACGGTATTACACCAGGAGACCGTCGTCAGAGTGCAAACTAGCAAGACAAGACTCGGATGTAATTAGTGAGATTCACATGTGGTAAGTTCAGCGAACTCCAGAGATATGGTTACGGAAGTCGTCAACGAAATCTGTTACATAAGCGGATGGACACTACAAGACAGAAGAGTAGCTTTCGCACCTCATTCATGAAGGACAGTACCATCCTCGTAGGGATACGAGGCAGGCATGCAACCGGAAGCGTTTGAGCTCCTTTTTGGATAAGGGAACGATCCGCCAAAAGAACTCGTGCTGTTGCTGGTGCCAATCTTTCCCGGCCGCAAAGATTCGTGGTCGTACTGCAACTTAAATGCCTCATTACACTGCTAGATAGTTTGTCTTTTGTTGATAAGGAGGCGTAACATTCAACCGACCAGATGGCCTCTGCAGACGTGAAAGACTTGATCAACGACCGCTATCAAGCTGAAGCTCATAATCAAGGTTTAAGTGCTGTGGGATAGTCAAGTCTAGATGCAAAAAGCAGCGATAGCTTTTGTCAGCGGATTAGATGATCAGTAACCACAGTACATCAGCCATTCGAACAGATGCTTCGCTGCCGAACCTACGGTACAAAGAATAACGAGATTGAAGGTGAGAGTAACGTAAAACCATAATGTACTAAACAAACATTCAGGGGTCTAGACCTTGTCAACATACCAACAAAAACAGCTGGCCATCGTGTAAACATAAGGCGGCATAAGCGAGACAGCTTCCTTAGGGCTTTCACTGTCCCGTATCATAGTGAAGCATTACGTGGCAGATAACAACACCAATTACTGTAAACGCGCAGACCGACTAACAGACGACAGCAGACACGCCTCTGGTGCCCAATGCGAACCATGTTTTTTAAAGTCTGGAAGACGAGACGGATCAACGGCACTGGGTTTGGTCGTCAGTGACTTCATTTCTCACTGCAAAGTTGATTGTTGCCCATTTTAAAGAGCAAGCGTTGGGGTACGGATCCTTGAGATCTTCTTGCTCTTGTCGAGATAAGAGATAAACCTGATTTCGTGTTCGCTATACTAAAAAGATAGTCACGCGATATGCAATACTGGTCGCTGAGCAACCCAGCTCGGGACCGCTTGTGATGATCAAAAGGTTGGCTACATCGAGACCTAATCAGTCGGTACTTTAGATGCAACGTCATAGGTCTATGATCGGTTAGTTTTCACTCAATCACGCCTTCGTATGCTAATATCGTCGCTTTCAGTGACCGGTGTCGGTGGTTTCGGATACGAATCAGAGGGAACTCATATCTGGTTAGCAGCAGCGTTTGAATTTACAGCGGATAACGATGACGGCAAGGCCGATGAGTTAGCGGTGTTGTCACGCTTAGTGCAAAAACGGAGCTAATAACCCAAGAGGTGGACAGACGCCGATACAAAAAACGCCGAACAACCAGTGGGAGACAATACATGTGCTGCTAGTCAAATGCCTGGCACCAAAATTTATTTAAATTCTGGTCATGCCAATCAAAGCAAAGGATATACCAAGGATGGATGTAAATTAAACCAAGCCAGAGAAAACGTGCGAAATTCTAACGCTGATGCCTTTAGATCCCTGAAAAACATTCCGCATATTGATCCATTAACAGACAAATAGGAACTAGGAACTCGATACACGAGCCAAAGGCGAGCACCGTCGTGCTGGCTTAAGATAAGCCCAAAAAGAATAAGCCAAAGCTTATATGTAACTTAGTTACAATAATAGGAGCTTTTGATATAGTTACCTTGTAGTTAATTGTGTAAATTTGCGACTACCAGTGTGACACCATTGACAGAAAACTGTCCGCTAGAGTGACATTTGAATCACCCTGAGTGACTGTTTTAGTGCCCCTGAGCTTCCTAGTGAGAAGTTAAGGACGAATTTCGGTCATTTGAAAGAAACTTCCAACGTAACCTTAACATATGCCGTGACAGCAATTTTCCTGGTTGCAAATACCGTCAATATTCTTTGGGAAAGAATTCCAAATGCGTAGATACCCAGGACTGAAGCCGTAAGTCTACACCGAAATTCATAACAAAAACGCCTCACTGGGACAGTCGGGAGCAGAAAAACGGTCAAGTTCAAGTACATTTAAAACCGGAACAATGGGAAGATCCCGAGTGTTCCACCTTTTGAAATCGTCGTTGAGTCAGCAGGAAATGCGGTGGATTTAGATGTCAAAGAGCCAGATCAATTCACACGATTCAGATGGTCAATCAATTAATGCCCGTGTCCTGCATTAGCGGTCCCCGTTGTGCTGGCCACGTAAATAAAAGAGTATGAGATGAAATTGGTGGAAGGACAAGCTTACTAAATATTGAGATGAATGAAAATGAACTAAGGTGAAGCCGTAAAACACGAGTAAAATCTTAAAGCGGAATAGTTTAAACTGTAGACCGAGGGGGTCAAGTTGATGTCCAAACTTCCACCGTCAGTGCATTTACAACTGCGGGCAGCGTGTCATAAAAACCTATGATCCTACTCGATAACTGAAAAGCTGCTGCAACCCGGTCAGATCGAGGTTTGTGCAACCTTAATGGGTGGCCACGAAGGATTGGCACTCTAGTTGCGTGGAACAGTCGAGTTAAATCAGGACTAATCTAACCCATTAGTATGCGATATCTGAGGACAATGTCGCCACGGAGTCGTCTGTAATGTATGGGAAACGTCCAACTTACGTAGCCTCTCAGGGTACGTCAGCGTCTTTAACCCATGCACTATTTTCGTCCCAAACCGCAAGACCCGTTCAATTGACATGCGGTCACGAATGAGGCATGGGGGACAAGCCTGTTAACAGCAGTAAAAGTGCGGCCTAACAATAGCCAAAAACACTAAGGCGCATATCAGTGGTCAGGATGCTGAATGACCTCCGGATGATAGAAAACATGCCGAATCCTTTACAAGCAGCTTCCGCCTAACATTCGCTGGACAAAATCAGGTGACAGCAACACTCCTAGATCAGCTTGGAGTTGCACCCGCGGCAGTTCGTTGTCATCAAGCAAATAACGCGTCGGTGGGTCATTTGGTCCTACGCTTAAGACCGAACATTTCGCAAAATTCGAGGGCAGCTGCCACAAAATGGACCAGTCCCAAAGTCCATCCAGAGCCCTTCGTACGGTCAGTGGACCAGTCGGATCAGAACTTTAGGTCATCTACAAAAAGTAGGGATGGCACACTCAGCTCAGCAGATAAGTCGTTTATGTATAAAGTGAAGAGAAGGGGGCCAAGTACTGAACCTTGTTAATTCCCACTAACGCATGGACGAAAAGATAGGCCGGAACCCACACGGATATTCATCGTCCTTCCGACTAGGAAAGCTGAAATTGTAATTGTACTGGAATATGTAGTGTATTTCAGTGACGACATCTGAAAGTGTAAAGATCGCTCTTGTTCTTGCTTCATTCCATTGCAGAAGCAGGAAGGGTCAATCTAAAGTGCCGAGGGCCGCATTAGTTACCGGCACAAGAAACAGGACGCTCGTTAGGCGAGAGCCTCTATCATCCGTTGTACCTGAACATGGTAAGTTTAGAAGTATCTCAGGATTGCAGTTTGCACAAGATGCGAATGCAAAACGGAATCAAGTTTCGGAAAAGTCAATGAACAATGTCCGCTGTTTTCCTTCGCTCGACAGCTTCAGCCCCATGTTTTCGAGCCACCAACAAGTTAGTTACGCAAGAATAACCCTTACGAATTTTGTTGATAGGGTTGAGCAACCCAAACGCTCTTAAATGTCATTCGAGAGCATTTCAAAAACTGTTCCAACAGCTTGTCAAACTGACCGGTGTAGTTTTCAGGGTGTCACCTTGCTTTTAAAATGGGACATACAATGAAATTTCGGTCGCTGGAAGCCTAACGGTTACGCGATCTGACTGATCAAAATACGGTTTGATTAAAGTGGGCCAGTACAATACAGTACATACATAGTTCATAGACATATTACGCAAGTTCTTACATTTTATCTGCGAGTGAATAAATACACTAAAATCGGACGGCTGACCATGTATCTGTGCGGGCATGTTACATATTCGTAAGCGAAATATTTACAAAAAGAATATCCATTTAAGCCAACCTATCTGAGATGGAATGCTGTCAACTAGCAGAAACTGAAACAGTTTACAATATTCAATAGTTAGGGAGGCAGACGAGTCTCGCTAATCGCCGACTGGTTAAGAGCACACAAAAGGAAAACGGAAAGATAGAAAATCAAACAGTTACATTACTCCCACAAAAAGATAACGGATAAGCACCACCAAATAACGGCTACGACTATTGCTCAAATTAGGACGATTTAGGCAAGTTGTCAAGCAGTGAATGAGCGGAAGAATCAAAGCATTAATAGGTATAACATGCACTTACATTTTTCTGACCATCACGCCAAGGTAAGTCTTCAACAGTCCTATGTAATGGTAAGTCCGCAGATGCATAAAACTTACGGCGTCCTCTTCTTTTGCGATTCAGAGTTTAGTTTCGGTACACGGCGAACTACGATGCTAGTGTACTTTGGGATAAGCTCCTCGTCTTTGACGTATGCTGTGGGAGAATGAGAAGTTTCGATTGGATACCTTTCCCATTGCTATCCTCAAGTTTCAAGTCAAAATCTGACGAATACAGGCAGCACTTAGCGCGTATCGCAGTCTTAAGATCTTTTACGGAAATTGAAGATCCATCAAAAGGTATGGAGTCAGTTTTCACATTAGCCTTAAACTTGAAATAGACAACCGACGACATCAGCGAAGACCAAGGAAGTGAAACCGAAAGTGCCGATATACAGAGAAACAAACTCTTGAACCGAGTGCAGTGTAAATGGTACAAAATAACATAAAAGGCATTCCTAATTTCACTTATTACAAATTTTATGGTGGCGTTTACATTTACTACATTAGGCATTTGTTTATTTATTTAGCAATCCTGAGAGTAATGCGCGGTAACTCGATTTGTTGGCGTGCCATACTGATCGAGCTTTTTACCTGGAATAAAGTGTAACAGGATTTGAAGGAACATATGCAACAAATATCGACTATGGTCAAATTTCCTCTGATCCAAAGTAACTTGGATCGATTAAAGTGTTACTTGTCAAAGCGTCTTCGGCGCTTACTTGTACTTTCCGGTCGTTTCCAGTCTTAATCCCCTTTCTGACATATTTTTGCCTTCTCCATTCCGGTCGTTATATTATTGAATACGTCTTAAACTTCTCTGTTTTCCATATGAACTTCGCTGTCTCACTAAACATCGTGGCAGACAGACCCCTGGGGCCTTCGTTTGACAAGTCTATTGCAGCTTGCCAATAGTCCAACTGTGCAATGCGTAACAGATGTATCTGGCGGTATGCAGTGTGACGTCTGCTGCTGCTGGTACCACGAAAGCTATACGGGCCCACAAGCAGACCGGTGCAAAATGCTATCATCAAGCGTTCACTTCCTTTGTTGCTGTGCTGAATGCTACCTTCGGTGATCGGCATGCCCTGCTCTCACCGATGTTAAACTTTCAGCCCTGGCTTCAAATGTGGCTGGTGTTGAGGAGGCGAAAGCCAAACTCGACTTTATTGTCTCGCTCGATAAGAAACTATATTTGGGTTTGACATTCCTGAATATCACGATGGAGGAATCTGTTGTAGACGGCAACATTGCTGATGATTTATCCGTTGGGGTCTGTCACCCGGCCAAAAGTCGCACATTCAACCGGACACTCCATGTAGCAGTATTAACTCTTCTCATTAGCCGGTCTACGTGAAGAGAGATGGTGGGTGGAAATACCAGCGGCGCTCCGCTAAACTCAGAGAATAAGTCGCCACGTCAACGAGAAAGACGCCCTCTTCGGCTGTAGTAATGTCATCGGACGGTTGTGCACTGGAGAACATTCCGAAGATGCTGACCGTCTCGGTTTTCGCGCAACCAGCCCGTTCCGCCGAAAGGTTTGTAACCGCCTAATGCGACAAATTCAAAGTCCCCTTCTCCCGTCAGCCGAAAGAAGAAGCGAGCTGGATCTGCCAGTAAAACTTCGAATGGGCTTGTAGACCCAGGTACTAGTAAGACGCAGGCAAACAACGGAAACCCTACGTTAGCGTTGCTTCGTTTTCTTTTGTGGGACAGGGACAGTCCCACCGCAAAAATTGAAAATGGCTGGCTTAATTGCTGAATCAGAGGCGGTGGATTAAACACTCCCCGTCGTGGTGACTCTTTCAAGGATATTGGCGTTATACTCGTAACGTTACGGAAGCTGCGGCTGCCCTCCCAAGTGAAGGAAGCTTGGATGACATTAAGCGGCTCAAATTGTGCGTCACCAAGCTGCTTCCACCTGGATGCCCTGGTGTCATTGTCAGAAATTCGACCAGATTTGGGATGTCCTTAGTAGCACGCCAAATTCGCAACCCCGACTACTTTGCGTGGTCTTTTCTAACCCGGAGGAACACAAAGCATTACCACAGCTTGCATTCACAAATAAAGACAGTGGTGTCATTGGTAAGCCCGAGCTTTCAATGGCAGATGAAAGGTAAAGTTGGCTACCAAAGACCTCAAAACTAGTCAAGCGGCTAGTGATCCTGGCTTCCGTCTGGTGGGTTTTCAGGTGGTCAGCCGAAGTTTTCCCGTCCTATCAGAACCTATCCTGATAACGCACGACCCATGGATGGGCGTGTTGGCTTCCTTATGGTAGTACTTAGCAACGTGCGTTGCTTAAGGAAGAAGGTGGACGAGTTGGGTTCACTATCTCTGCTTAGCATCAGCTAGTCGCCATAGCCTCAATTCAACTTTGCGGATATCCGGAACTCTCTAGAAGTCGCTCCTTTCGTACAGTTTATTCTCTTGGATTGTTTGAATCACCGCTCAGCTGGTTTGTTAACCTATTCTGTGCCATCGTAGGATCTACTAGTAACTGAAGGCTTAATCCGAACTCTATTGCTGGCCACTCATCTCCCTCCTAGCGCGCTATTATCCGGCGTTCGTCTTACTCGCATAACGGCTTCTTCTTTGCACTAGCTAGTAATTGTTGGCTCCATGTAACTTGCAGGGTGCTACTCCTGGACTCCAGCCTTCATTTTCTTCTGACATCTGTCTCTCTAAGCTTCGCTCGCATGTTGCTTTCTTCATCGAGTCTGTAGGTATACAGTAGTGGTCCACTAGTAACTGAAGGCTTAATCCGAACTCTATTGCTGGCCACTCATCTCTCTCCTAGCGCGCCGTTATCCGTCGTTCGTCTTACTCGCGTCAACTCTTCTTGACAGCAGTTAGTCATCGTTGTTCTCATGTAAGGATGGAGTCACTTTTTTGCTCTCCTACTTTTTTTCTGGAAGGATTTTCTCTCTAATCGCTCACACGTTCATTTACGTATTGAAACTGTAGGGATCCAGCATGTGGTCAAACCTCTTAATGATATGGCTACACCAGCCACTGATACATCTTTTCCTATAGCCACTATCTCTGCTCAGCAGCAGCTGGTCGCTGTAGGCTCTATTCAACTTAGCGAACACCCGTTGCTTGCTAATGTTCAGTCCTTCCGTAGAATGTTTATCCTCTTGGTATAGTTTTTCATAGCTCAGCTGGTTTGCTGTCCTATCCTTTGACACTGTAGTTATTCAACATTAACTAGAATGATTAACCCAACAGGCACGTTTGGCCACTGAAACCCGGTCCATTATCGCTATCTTTTGATCGTCTTACCTTCAACACTTAGTCTTCCTTTCAAATCCATTTAATTTTAGCCTGCTTCTGGTATGCTCAGCTTCCTGTCGTCATATACCCATGTACATTATAGTTATTGTGTCTTAGGTAATCCTTATCCCGTGGAGCATATATAAATACGGCCACATCGTTGCTGTAGCTTTTGGTTTCTGATAACAACCAATCGTGACTACACACCAACCTTCTAGTCTCAGGTAGAATTCGAACATCGTTAGCTTATACCACATGAATTTCTTACCGGAACCGTGCTCTTCATCTTTATGCATATTGAAAGTATTTTACCCATTAGGCCATGCCTTTTGCGTAATTAAAGACATCTTTAGCGTAATATCTGTTACACATTGTACACTAGTTGTCTTAAATAAATGTCTTAAAGTAGGATATTGATCCAATGCTAGGTACATTGACTGTCCTTTTGGGTCTTCTCTCGGCCTGTTCCTCTCTCCTTTTTCTCTGAGGTCGTGAACATCTGAGAGATTCGGGATTGAACTGTGGAACTGCCTCCGTCTGGGATGGGACGAAATAACCAACAAGAACTTACCTGGACCATCGCATCACTTCCATTCTAACCATCTGCACTCAACCACCGATATCCCGTGAGGGTAGCTAGACACGAATTCTTCGCTCCCTGGCAAATATACATGATCAGAGAAGACTTCAAGTGGTTCTGCAATGGATCAACACATCATATTTAAAAAGAATGTTTAGTTCCCGACATACCAATGGACAGGACTCAGGAACGCATTAGGCAACCAGCCAAGACATCAGCCAGCAGAAAGACGGGACACAAGCTGACTGCGAATAGCCGAGCAAACAAGCGTTCAACAAGAAACATAGCCAGTTACAACTTGCCATTCAATGGATTGGCGGCAGTGTTCCAGGACGTGATGGGTTTTCGGCTGGCAAGCGTTCTCCCTATAAAAAACCACAAATGTCCGTTTAACAACACTGCAACGTGGCGTATGTGACTCGCCACGGGATAAAGTTACAGCCCATAACTTCACAATGGCAGGTCAACTAGCGTCAAAATTCTAGATAGGTTCGTTACACTGGAACTTCTACATCTGCATATACTGTCGTCTTTTTACTTTCTACGATACGTTGACCTTTGCGTTACTTGTGCATGAACTCACTCTATCGGTATATATCTCTTGAGCGTGCTCTTCCATTACCTTCTAATGGGTCACTCAGGATTCTCACTCTATCATTAGCTAAGGTCCCGTATCTCATGACAGCCAAATTATTGTTTCGCATTTTCACCATTGCACAGTTCCAATCATGGACATATGAACAATTTTCTACTGTCACTGTTACAGTTGCCATAAAATGTTTGTACAACTGTACGTATCTGATCATGCCTCCATGGGCGTGCCTCGCATAGTCGAGCATAAACTATTTATCTGTTTATTTATATATTTAGTTATTGTAGACAAATCCCGTCCCGACATACGCGCTTTCACTGAAACGTGGTAGTCTTCGGATATCACAGACGGTGCGGTATGCCTACTTGCCTGCTCGCTGCTTAGAACTGATCGCTCCGTTGGTAGCCAGGGCGGAGGCGTTGTACGGCATGTGGGTTGTAACTTAGATGTGTTGAGGACCTGCACCTTCCAGTTGTTGTATCAGACGGCTGAAGCCCCATCGGCCGTTTTGTGCACTTCCTCTACCCAGTGTACAGTCGTAGGGATAGACTGAGTCCCGGAACTTCTGCCCATGGGTTAACTGACTTTATGCGCATCCAGTGTTTAGTTCTGGGCGATTTCAACCTCTCGAAAGTCGGTTGAGCCTATATTCATGCTATTCAGCGTCAGAAACATTCGGCGCACACATTCTTGAGCGGACTCTTTAAGTGCCTTTGCACCAGTTCATGGACTGCCCCATTAGGTATATGGACAACAAACTACCATCTACCTTAAAGCTGGTTTTCGTGAAGTCCCTCGCCTTCGTGACTGACGTTCCATACGGTGCACCTCTAGGGTCCAGCAATCACGCATGCATATATTTTGGTGTGATCTTTTAAGGCACCAACCGACCGCCGTTGATTTGCTTCAGAGTATTTAGCGGGCGGCGTTTAGCGCAATGCGAGCTAAGGC